ATTGACCTTTGACCTACTTTTCACCATGAACTGAACTTTGCAAATTTTGCTTCCCTTTTATCTCCAAAACTGGCAGAGATAGGTCCATAGTTACTATTGAAGTTGGATAGGAAGTCATATACTGGCAATTTACTGTGACCTTGAAATTGACCTTTGACCTACCTTACAATGAACTTAACTTTGATTGCACCATTTTTAGTTATATATATTTTTTGCATATTTTGAAAATTCTTGTTGATTGCATTTTTACAGCTTGTCAAGCACAAGACTGGTGACTGCACCCCTTATTTTGTGTATGTGGGGGTCTATACGAATGCGCTTGCTCCAGCTGGTGGTACAATATTCGGAGGCGGTATCGCCTCTCTGATCCTCTAGTTTAATTACTTGTCAACCACAAACATGTAGCGGTCATGCATTTACATGGGTTTACAATAGTTTTATTAACATTTTGCCAATTATCTGAATGAAATTTAATTTGTGTAATGCAGCAAGATCATCCAAGATAACCAAAAATTTTGTGACTTAAAATCAGAGCGAGATTTCATAGGATATGGAGGAGGGTGGGGTCAGAAATAATCATTATGGCAGACTGGCCAATGCACTGTGTTGACAAATAGGTAAAAGCTGACAGAATATATCCACAAAATTAATATTTTCTGATAGCTATGTGAAATGTATGTTAGACAAAAGTACAAATTCACCATGTTTTGCGAGCCACTCTTGTATTGCTTTCTAAAAAGACATCAGAGAAGTTTTTACTGTAGCACTACTTGCTGTGTGCATGAAGTTTCGCATGCGTTGCTAAAAAGGTGGACACTTACATTCTTCTAGCCTCATGCGACAAAGCTACATAGTGTTGCTAGCTTCATTTCAGGCTATCTTGGATGATCTCAACTTTATCAATATTTTTCTTATCATTTGAACAAAATATTATTGATAAAATTTCCCATATTAAGGATACAAAAGACCTTTTTACCTTTTGAGTTGAAATATGTGCCAGCTCTAGTGGTTGTTTTATTATGTGTATAATCCCATTGGTTGCTGGTATATTTGCCTCAACCACCCTAATACCATCTACATAGAAACCCTGTTTAAAGGAAATAATCTGAATCAGTTAATAAAATTGAAATTATAAAATTTCATTTGGGAATGGCGTAAATAAAAGAGGCCTCGATGTGCTGACTACCTATCAATGAATCCACCAATGCACTATGTCATTTATTTCGGGAATCATCTATTATAATGATGGCATCTTGCCTATCTTGGGATGGAGGAGATATAAATGCATATTTATTTGCTTTCATTGAAACATACAGTCCATGATTTTAAGCTCCCCAACTTTTCACACAGATGTTCAGAGAGGAGGAGGTCATCTCTTGAGTGTGTACCACCAACATGGCACGTGCTTGAAAGGTGCACCACATTAAAACATGAGCTGGGAACATTACTGTGGACATTCTAACATCCTAACAAAAGATTTCTAGGTGTAAAGAGCACTAAAAATTTTAATATTTTAGACTTTTGGTTAACATAAATTAAGTACTATTAAAGTGAAAATGCATCAGTCATCCCCCAAATAAAATAGATAGATACTGTTAGATAGATAGATAGATAGATAGATAGACTCATTCACCTGTTTCTTAAACTGTACTTTCAGCTGCTGGCCGATCAGAGACACTAGGGTTGTATTGTTAAATTGGTCAGCATCCAAATTCACTGCTCCAGTCACAAAGTGGTTTCTTATTGCAGCAGTAGACAGAGCCTTTGAAAAATGTATCAAGCATTTACTAGTGATTTTTTTAATTCAAACATTTCAGTCTGTAAATTTTTTTTTTATCTCCTTATGCATACCTAGAAAAAAAAATTTTTTTTTGGGGGGGGAGGGGAGAGAAGGGGGAATCTTTTCGATTAGGAAATTCAAACATTTCTTTTCATCTCTACATACATACTTGTGTATTTACTAGATATAATGACATAACGTCATATCTTTGAGCCAAAAATGATGTAAATAGTACTTTTTTCTCTTACAAATACACCTTGATAAATTATGTGAAAAATATTGCAATATCATATTATAGTAAAATACATATTATTGTAATGAACAAATCTGGTGTAATTCTTGTATAATTAAGGATATGAACTTTTTGTGTGTATGAAAAATTCCATCATATATTTTTTGAAAGTGTGTTTCTTCCCAATGTCAACTGATTAAAAGATTTAAAACCCCATATCCCAAAAAATGTTTGGGCTGTCTGTTGTAGAAAAAAAAAGCATTAACGTCTGTTGTCATAATTACTGTCTATGCAAATTAAATCAAAATAATGAAATTGATTATTTTACTATTTATTCATTAACATTTTTTGGGGGGAGGGTTACTATCAACATTTTGAAGTTTTGAAATTGGTATATTTGAATAAATATTATTTGATCTACAACAAAATTAGTTTCACAGTGGTATAAAAAATTCACTTCTCTGCCTTTAATTCCATTTCAATATTCTCTGACAGGGGCGGATTTAGGCCGTCTTCTAGGTCTTCCGGAAGGCGGTCAGATTTTTAAGTTTACATAGACAGGTATCTATTTTTTGTCGGAAGACGGTCAAAAATGGGGGATGGATCAACAAAGATAATTTGGAAGACTGTCAGAAAATATATCTGGAACCGCCCCTGTCTAATGTTACAAAATGTTTTCTTTAAATAAATGAAAACACATGCACAGCAATGAAGAGTGAGTATCCCAACAAAAACCAGTATTCTCTGATTATGTCCAGAATTTTATGTTTGTGCATACTAGTATGCTGGAAATTTGACCTCAAATTAGGAAAAAACTAATAATAGCATCCTACTGATAAATTAAATGCATTAGCAAGCACTCGCTCATTTCCATGCAATTTACCTTTTGGCTAAAGTTTCCCTCTGATATGCGATAAGGTACAAATACTGTTGTATTACCCACTCCATTTTTTAGGGAGTTCACCATTTCCTGTAATTCTTGTGATGTACTTGATGCAGTTAATAGGACCTAAAATGATTATCAACATATTAAATTATACCAACTTTTGCAAATTCATTACAGTAACTTTTGATGGTTCTAGATGTTCCAATTCAGTAACTAATTTCCTGTCATTTTAGGGAACCATTTGATTCCATGCCTGTCAATGAGGCTTTCATTGCAGTTACTTGTAATATACTAAATTGTACATTTATTTAAGTGGACACATGCCAGCAGATGTTGCCATAGATATGTTTCAGTGCTTTGAACCATGATACAGAAGAATATTTCAAGGAATGAAGTAAAATACAAGGAAGGTAATCATTTAGATACAGAATAAGCTCAAGGTAGGCTTTATTTTAAAAAAATAAGTAGAAGTGTAATAAGTTTGATAAAATAGAACTATTCTTTACTTAGAGACAAATAACTGCTATCAACTTCTGTTTTTTTCAGTCCACCACTGAAATGCAATGTTTGACAAATGTTATTTGTCTGTAAGTAAGTCAAAAGAATAATTTTATGTTATCATCCTATGTAGAGAGCAAGAAAAAAACACTTTCATAGTGTAACAAGTTTATTAAGAATGACTAACTTAACACTGGTATAAATATGATAATCATGTTATTATCTCTCTAGAAGTTATGGTCAGTGCCCATGGTCAATAGCCAACCTTACAGTGACCAATCTTGGCAGAATGACCATCACTGTCTCATAAGTTAATCAATTATTTAATGCATTCTACTAAAACAGTATAGGTCTATCCATACACTGCTTGATTAAAAGTTCAGTTGTTCAACCAAAGGTGAGGGGAAATTGGGTAAATGTTTCAGGATTTACTTCAACATGCAAGCCACACAGGCCCCACAAAACATAAGGATTAGCATCCCAGCAAAACTTCAAAGGGTAATTGGATTAGCTGAGCACAGTGACCACACTGCAGAAGTTCCCTGTCACACAGTTTTCAAGAGTAGCTGATACCAAGTTTGTACATTGGGAACTCAAGGTAGTGAAAAACACATTTTTTCAAATATTTAAAAGTGCATTCAAAACAGATGATCGGCAGACTTACGTACTGATCCGTGGACTTAATATGGCCCACCCATCATAGAAGAAAGCTGCTGAATCCATGATATTCTCACTGCCTCCACACACACTATTGAATTGAGCAGATTAAACCTCAGCTCCGAGGTGTAATTACTAGTTGGCTGCAGGGACAGCACATGTGGAGGCCAGGAGACCATCAGTGGATTATGAGCGGCTACCTTTTATGTGGGGTTGGCCCTATTTAATCCGTGGATCAAAAAGTCTGTGGCTCATCTGTTCTGAATAAGCTGTAAGTTATTACTCTAAGGGTGCATTCCCAGAGATTTAGATCAATCCAGAGATTTAGATTTAGATCAACCTAACTCCCTGGGGGTTCACGCTAAATTGCAGTCAGCCGAGCGCGCACCACAGTTAATTACCCCCTAACAGCTTTTAGTAGGCAGGACAGACGCTTAAGCCGGCTAAGCTGACAGTAATCTAGTGAGACTCCCCACAGGGATAGATCGATCTAAAATCTATGGGAATGGGGTCGTAAACTGTAAGTGCAGAAGAGACAACTCACAGCCTTATTGTACATAATTTTTGATAGAAATGCTTTGCAACTAATTAAAATTAATATTTCAAGCGTGCCTATATACCTTTGCTGAATTCATATTTGCAATATGGTGGTAAACTATGAGTTTGTAGACCATAGGTTATTTTAGATTTTCTAATACGTCGGCTTTTATATTATTGGTCAGTAGGTAATGAGAAGTTTATGGGGAATTCAGATAGAAACATTGAAAATTATGCACTGTACTAGGCATGTTATACATAAAGTATGATAAAACTGAATTTCCATGACAATGCAACTAAATAATAAGCTGTAATTGACTGTTGGGAATTCAGTGAGAATTTAGCAAAAGAAGCTGTAAAATTTTTTGAATAACTTGGCATTTCAGCAAAACACATAAAAAGGAGTCTTTTTCTTTTCCTTCAGTGACAGCATTTCCAACATCTGACCGTTTAGTCTTACTTTATTTCCTTCAGTGACAGTCTCTAGACGAGTATTATATGCAGTACAGATAAACATGTATTGTCACTGTAGGCCTTAAACCTCTTTTCACACACCCATCCAAGTATTTTTCTCGGTCTTAATCCAAACCCACCCTGGATCAATAGCCATGCCTCAATGCTTTAATAACAAACCTTGTAAAATGCCTGTGTCTCCTTCAGTCTGTTTAATGTGTCCAGGATATCCCCATTGCAGATAGTGCCATTTCCAACAAAGTCATCTTTACAAGTACACTGCACATGTCCAGTTGTCAAGGCTCCATCTAAAATAAGACCATCAACTCATAATTATTACAGTGGCTTTGTATCAACCTAATTAAGTTTTGAAGGATAAACATAATTTTAAGTCTGGACTGATCCATCATCATAAAATTTTATAAACATATCTATAACAACTGTATTTTGCACAAGTCCATTAAAGAATTAATTAGATTTAATTTTAAAGAACTTGTAATTTGAAATAGTGTCAGGAATATTCTCTCAATTGTAGATAGTTTTTCACCTATACTCAATGCCACTGAACAAGATGCCCCAGGTGGGCAACCCCCATTCTGTTGCAAACATTTATCTTCCACACAGTAGGTTACTCCATCTCCAGTCAGATTTGTTGGGCATTTACACCTGTAGCTTTGTTTCTGTATTCAAAGAACATGTTGGTTATTACAATTTTTAAATTGCAATTAAAATCATACTATGTACTGGTAACATCCATGAACAATATATCTAATATAAAGAATAAAAGAAAAAACTTGTAAAATAATAAAAATTAATTGTATCCTTATACCTTTATTGATAAAAACTTCATTGTGTTGGCATTTTATTTAACCAATAAAATTCCAAAATAACTTTTCAAACTACATAACTTATTTTTCTTAAAATTCACTAAAATCTATAAGCACTTTACATTTAGCATTAATGGCTTAAATGAAATTCAGTTAAGTTAACTTAAATATTTGTCACTGACCTGCTGATCAAAACTACATTTTGCTTCAGGTAGGCAAGTGTGATTGTTGATTTCACATGGCGAGTAACAGTTGTAGCCACTTCCATAGTAACCAGGTAAACAAACACATGACACGAAGTCATTTGTTATGCTGCACTTGGCATATTTATGACAACCACCATTAAACACCACACAAGGAGACATACACTTATATCCATCTCCACGGTACCCAGGATAGCAAGTGCATTTGACTCCATCTGGTGTTGCCTGGCAACTAGCATCTGCATGGCAACCACCATTCTTAATATCGCATACTGACTTACAGTTATAGCCATCTCCAATGTAATTACTAATGCAACTGCAGTTAACAGAGCTATTGCTGTAACTGCATGTAGCCATAACATGACATCCTCCATTTAGTATCTCACAGGGGGTGTTGCATGTATATCCATCACCATGGTAACCAGGTAAACAAGAGCAAGTTACGCTTCCACTTTTATCCATGCACTCAGCATTGGAATGGCAGCCACCATTGTTATAAGTGCAAAGGTCAAAACAGGTTTTTGTAACTGGGCAAGCACACACGACGTGTCCGTCCTGAACTACACAATCTGCATCACCATGGCAACCTCCATTGTCAATTTCACAAGGGTTATGGCAAAAGTGATAGCCATCACCAAGGAAACCAGGTAAACATGAGCACTTGACTCTGTTGTCAGGTCCTGTGAATGCATAAATCTTTCAGTATAGTCATTTATCTTTTATGAAACCAATGAATTACTCTAGGAGGATACAATTTAAACAACATCAAAATTAAGGGGCCGTAGCGATAGTCCGAAGGTTCAATAGTCCGAAGGTTCCTTGGTCCGAATGTTCACTATAGAACCTTCGGACCAATGAACCCTTGATTAAAAAATCGATGAAAATGTTACCA